ACAGATAAGTTGGAAGTTGCCATACAAACTGTGAGAGGCTAATTAGTTAAGATGAGCTATTATCAGCAGAAGAAAAAAACTTTTGTAGTGATAATCAAGATGGCCCATTTAGACAGTTGACAAGAAGGTGAGAGGATACTTAACTTTAGGGAAATAGATTCAATATGTGTAATGACCCAGACACTCCCAGTCTCTATTCAAACCCAAGTTAATGGTATCTAGTTTGCATATTAAATTCAAGCTCAGCAGTTTCTCGTTGGAGTCTGTTTTTGAAGCTTTTCTGTTGCAAAATTGCCACCCTTAAATCTTTTACTGAGTGGCCAGAGAGGTTGAAGTGTTCTCCTACGGGTTTTTGAATGTTATGATTCCTGATGTCAGATTTGTGTCCATTTATTCTTTTGCATAGACTGTCCCGTTTGGCCAATGTACATGGCAGAGGGGCATTGCTGGCACATGATGGCATATATCACAGTGATAGATGTGCAGGTGAACGAGCCCCTGATGGCATGGCTAATGTGATTAGGTCCTATGATGGTGTCACTTGAATAAATATGTGGACAGAGTTTGCGTCGGGCTTTGTTGCAAGGATAGGTTCCTGGGTTAGTGTTTTTGTTGTGTGGTGTGTGGTTGCTGGAGAATATTTGCTTCAGGTTGGGGGGCTGTCTGTAAGCGAGGACTGGTCTGTCTCCCAAGATCTGTGAGAGTGAGGGATCATTTTTCAGGATAGGTTGTAAATCTTTGATGATGTGCTGGAGGGGTTTTAGTTGGGGGCTGAAGGTGATGGCTAGTGGCAGTCTGTTATTTTCTTTGTTGGGCCTGTCCTGTAGTAGGTGACTTCTGGGTACTCTTCTGGCTCTGTCAATCTGTTTTTTCACTTCAGCAGGTAGGTATTGTAGTTTTAAGAATGCTTGATAGAGATCTTGTGTTTGTCTCTGTCTGAGGGATTGGAGCAAACGCGGTTGTATCGTAGAGCTTGGCTGTAGACAATGGATCATGTGATGTGTCCTGGATGGAAGCTGGAGGCATGTAGGTAGGAATAGCGGTCAGTACGTTTCCGGTATAGGGTGGTGTTTATGTGACCATCACTTATTAGTAGAGTAGTGTCCAGGAAATGGACCGCTTGTGTGGATTGGTCTAGGCTGAGGTTGATGGTGGGATGGAAATTGTTGAAATCATGGTGGAATTCCTCAAGAACTTCTTTTCCATGGGTCCAGATGATGAAGAGGTCATCAATGTAGTGCAAGTAGAGTAGGGGCATCAGGGGACGAGAGCTGAGGAAGTGTTGTTCTAAGTCAGCCATAAAAATGTTGGCATACTGTGGGGCCATGCGAGTACCCATAGCAGTGCCGCCGATTTGAAGGTATACATTTTCCTCAAATGTAAAATAGTTATGGGTAAGGACAAAGTCACAAAGTTCAGCCATCAGGTTTGCCGTGACATTATCTGGGATACTGTTCCTGATGGCTTCTAGTCCATCTTTGTGTGGAATGTTGGTGTAGAGGGCTTCTACATCCACAGTGGCCAGGATGGTGTTTTCAGGAAGATCACCGATGGATTGTAGTTTCCTCAGGAAGTCAGTGGTGTCTCGAAGATAGCTGGGAGTGCTGGTAGTGTAGGGCCTGAAGAGGGAGTCTACATAGCCAGACAATCCTGCTGTCAGGGTGCCAATGCCTGAGATGATGGGGCATCCAGGATTTCCAGGTTTATGGATCTTGGGAAGCAGATAGAATACCCCTGGTCAGGGTTCCAGGGGTGTGTCTGCACAGATCTGTTCCTGTGCTTTTTCAGGGAGTTTCTTGAGCAGATGGTGCAGTTTCTTTTGGTAATCCTCAGTGGGATCAGAGGATAATGGCCTGTAGAATGTGGAGTTAGAGAGCTGCCTAGCAGCCTCTTGTTCATATTCCAACTTATTCATGATGACGACAGCACCTCCTTTGTCAGCCTTTTTGATTATGATGTCAGAGGTGTTCCTGAGGCTGTGGATGGCATTGTGTTCAGCACGGCTGAGGTTATGAGGCAAGTGATGCTGCTTTTCCACAATTTCAGCCTGTGCACGTTGACGGAAGCAATTTATGTAGAAGTCCAGTCTGTTGTTTCGACCTTCAGGAGGAGTCCACACAGAATCCTTCTTTTTGTAGTGGTGGTAGGAAGAAGGATTCTGTGGGTTAGTATGTTGTTCAGAGGTGTGTTGGAAATATTCTTTGAGTTGGAGACGTTGAAAGTAGGATTCTAGGTCACCATAGAACTGTATCATGTTCGTGGGGGTGGAGGGGCAGAAGGAGAGGCCCCGAGATAGGACAGACTCTTCTGCCGGGCTAAGAGTATAGCTGGAAAGATTAACAATATTGTTGGGTGGGTTAAGGGAACTACTGTTGTGGCTCCTTGTGGCATGTAGCAGTTTAGATAGTTTAGTGTCCTTTTTCCTTTGTAGAGAAACTTTTTGCAAAAAGTTTGTGTTATAAATGGCTTGTCTAGTTTTTGTAAAACTTATACTGGTATGAATATATCTTCTGAGTGAAGGAGGGCAGCCACCATTTTGTAATACATGATCACAAATTAGATCCATTTTGAATTCTGGGCTACTGGTGGATACCAGGAGCTGCCATGGTCAACTGCAAATTATTTTTGGGCTGATGAAAAGTGTGACCTTTTCCCTCTGATGTAACCCTTATCAGTGTTAGGCATGCTTTTGTTGTTTAGTTTGTTTTGTTGTAATGTGCCTTATAGGGGATTGCCCACACAGATCACATAGAATCATAGAATATCAGGGTTGGAAGGGACCTCAGGAGGTCATCTAGTCCAACCCCCTGCTCAAAAGCAGGACCCATCCCCAATTAAATCATCCCAGGCTGGGATGATTTAATTGGGGATGGGTCCTGCTTTTGAGCTGAGGGTTGGACTAGATGACCTCCTGAGGTCCCTTCCAACCCTGATATTCTGTGATTATCAAGCACATGGAAGCTTGAAACTAATACAAAATGTTATGATCTCTTTATAAAGAGAGTCTTCGGACTGGGAATACATCACATAGTGCTCCAGCATCTGCAATGGCTAACCAATAAATAATAGATACTGGCAGATAAAACAAACCCTCTGCGAACAAAACATTACCAGTCCTCAGCCCCATTTCTCCCCAGATATCTTGGTGATGAGTCTTGTGCCACAGGCAAAGGCTAACAGATCTGAGATAGTGTGTGTGTGCTTTTCTCCCTCTCTGCAATTCAGCCATATTTGATGTCAGCAATGTGTTGGAGCTCCCTTGTTATAAATGAGGAGGCTGCCGCAAGACATTCTCAGCTTTTGAATTCCCTCCCGTCTTGTACACTGTATCTCGGCGATGTTAGCCTTTAGCCACGGCACAAGGCTGCTCTTCTCTCCCAGACATCTGGGGAGAAACTGAGTTGAGGATTGGAGAAGTTTTGTTTGCTGCGGGGTTGTTTTACCTGCCAGAATGTATTTATTTACGTTGCAACAGCACCCAGAGGCTTTGCACAGGATGGAGTCCCGATTGTGCTAGGTGCTACATGAATACCTGTTCACTGCCCAGAAAAGTTTACCCAATCTAAGAAATTTACACTGGTGAGAGCAGTGTATTGTATAGTTTGGTGAAATTAAATTCCATCCAGATGTCCAGGGCCCGGGAGGCTGCCTCATCATCATTCTGTAGATATGAAAAAATCAAATTCTAACACGACACTGTATAAGAATAATAAGCTTCCGTGGCAATGTAGAAAGTCACTTTTTACTCTTTCAAGGATCACACTACGATTTTTAGGAAGAGAGGTGGACACTATTCATAATATCAGATGCTGCTTTACTGACTGCACACAATGTTGTATCTTTTTTTTTGGTTCATGAATGACCTTATGTTAAAGAGATCAAAGTGCGGGAAGAGCACCCATGCAGAGAATGTGAATTTAGGAGGAATTTCAGGTTCTGGTGGTGATCAAGCACGTTTTAGAGGTGATGTTCTTGTCTCTTGTAGGAAGAAATGCGTGCACATGAACCCCAAAGGTTTATGGTGGCTAATATTATCCAATCCATTGGGCACAGAAATGCTGGTCTTGGAGAAGACTCCACAATTCTCCTGCTCTAAATTAAGAGTAATGAAAACTGTTGGAGAGGAACAGGAAAAAGATTCAGGTCATAGTGTGAAAAGAGGATCATCCACAGACTATGGGAATTTTAAATACACTACAATCTTCCTTTTATATTAGCATGTACCCCAAAAGTTTTAAGTGTTAGAAAAAAAGTTAAGTTAACCAGATCTTTTTCTAAAAGTTGTGTAGCTCCATTTATTTCAGTTGAACTATGCTGACTGACACTTGCTGAGAATCTGGTTCTTAATGTTAGACTGAAGAAAAACTAAAATGTTTTCCAACTTCAGACAAAGAGGAATTTTAGTTTAACTCCTTTAAACTGTATTCCTGGCTTCAGACTTCATTACAGCTCATTGTATAAATTGTGGAATATGGTCTCTGACTCATAGTGAACAATTGGCAGGTGGCAATTTCTCAGCTACAGCTTCTAAAATATCAAAAATAGAAAGTTGGGGCTTAATAGAAAACCACTGGGAGGGAAATTCTGGTATCTTTTTGAAAAAGAAGCAAAAGCATAAAGGATTTTATGGATTAAGCTTTTGTGGAAATTAAGTGATCTATCCAAAATGAGATTCCTAAAGCTAAGTCCATATAGCTAAGGAAATGATGTACTATATCTATCTATATTTTTAAGAGGATGCAAGTAACTGAAGATTAAAAAGTGCAATTTCCCTGCTTACACAGTATCATAGCAGTGCATTATGCACTAAACATATGAACTCTTGACTAGATGGAATGGGATAAATTCAAGCTCAAATTCTTAGCCTCCTTTTAGGAGGCCCTAGAAGACCAATTGTGTCAGCTCTTTCTGCTACTGGTGATCTCTGCACAGTGAATACCTGTATTTTGAGAAAGCAAATACAATTGGTAGCCACTATAAATCAGCCAAACTCATGGAAATAACAAAATTAATGGAATTTTATTGACAACTTGAAGTTGCATGTGACTTGTGTAGCTCAGTAGAAGCAAGTTTCAGTTTAGTTTATCAAAATACTTCAGTTTTCCAGCTGGATCTGGGATTATCTGTGTGAGAAAGAAAGTGAAAGTGTTGGTCTAAAAACAAAAGGAACAAATATTATCTACTTCATATTCTGACATTAATGGTCACAAACTACATCGAGAAATTACCTTTCACCTGTTCATATCTAAGGTTACTTCTTATCTTTAATGAACACTAAACAGTGGAGGGCAGTAGGAAGTGGAGTTCGAGAAAGAAACAGAGTCTGCCTGGTTGAAAGAATGTACTCTACTCTGATTTTCCCCATAAATGAACTTAGAATTATTTCCATAAATTAACATCTGTACTCAAGTGCCTCAGAGTTTACTTACAGCTCTTGTCTTGGCCACCACGCTCTCATGGCATCTTCGGGTTTGATCTAATTAAATCAAACACATTTAGAAGGCATGGCTACAGATGTTAATATATTCTGAAGAGTGCTTTGCAGAACTATTCTGCTGTTTAAGTGCACTACAGCTTTTGCACAGAAAGCAGAGAGAACTTATTTGTATTTACGTCAGTGCTATACATTTATTCGGGCCTGATATTCTCAGCAATGAGTCAGTTGTCAGCAACAGGCGTACAGAAACAGCAGATGCTATAAAGTAGTAATCTATTACTGCTATCAACGGGTCTCCCTTTTATTAAGTGTATTCATAGGCTTGACCCTTCTCAGAACGGGAAATCGCTCACTTGTCAGCTGCTAATGGACAGATTATTCAGTTTAGCCAGGGTAGTGGAATGCATGATTTCCAATGCCACACATATGCCATCCTATAACCTGCTTTCACCTTAAAATCTGAAGAGCCAGTTTTCCCCACTAAGACAAATCTCAACTAGCCCATGAATGTAATTCTCAGCGTCTGCCTGTTTCGCACTGTAATACAGAGGTCTGCTGCTCTGCAGCAAAGCTAGCCACTTCAATGTTGCCAGTTGCAACTTTTACTAGAGATTATACAGACCCTTTGGCTCTCTGCATGCACTGTTTGAGATCCTGTATGTAGATACAATTTAGGGACTGTCTTTTAATGTGTGTCAGTACAGTGACTACCGCAATGGGACCTTGAACTTGGCTGGAAACTCCAGAAGCTACCAGAACACAGTTTATTAATAATGCTATATCAGTTAAAATCACTAGCATCCTATTGACATTCTGAAAATTGTATTGTTTATAAATAAGCCCATTGTCTGTATGAATGAACACATTTCATGGCCCTGCCAAAATGTGGTATTTGCTGCTGTCATGTATTCATGTATTCAACTCAAGGAAAGGTGCAGAGACCACTTCAATTTTTTGCTGCTACTGAAACCTTATAGAATTTCTTTCAAGGCATCTTTTATTTATTTTTATTTTAATTTTTTTTACAAATGCTGTTTGTGCCAACAGCTGAAACAAGCAACAGCAGAAAAAAGGGCAGCTTCCAATAAATGCCAATGATGTAATATTGTAGCTGGCAACCTTCTGTAGCCCAGTTTCTTAGGGCATGCTTACATGTACACCGCTGTAGCGGTGCTGATGTACCGGCACGTCTGGTGAAGATGCTCTAGGCCGACAGGAAAGAGCTCTCCCATTGGAATAATAAAACCACCCCCGTGAACGGCATAACCTCTCCTGCGGACAAAGTGCTGTGCACACAAGCGCTTATGTCGCGCAGGGGGGGTGGTTTAACAACACCACATGAGTGACACATTACGCCAACACAAGATGTGTGTGTAGACATAGCCTTAGAAAAATATTTTCTTTGTTCTATTGGGGCCTGATTTAACGTACACTGAATTCAGTTGCTCCAGTGGGCATTGAACTGGGCCCTTGCTCTTTGGCTCATAATCTTGTTAGTGTGAAGAAACAAAAGAAGAGATACTGTGCTGCAAAATGCATTCCATTTTACAATTCTAATAGTGGTAGGGTGCTTTGCCCAAATGTGGGCAATTATACATAGCCTGAGAAGTGAGATTATTTATACTGAGGAACTGCCTAGGAACCCCAATCAAGGATCAAGTCTCCATTATGTTAGGCACTGTACAGGTAAGACATAGAGAAGATAGCCCCTTCCTCAGGGAACTTCCAACTCTCTCTTGACCTGTGTTGCAGGATGGGAGGGAAATTCTCCCTCTAGTTAACTCGCTGGTGCTTGAGGTTTTGATCATACATTGGAAAGTTGACGGAGAAGGAAACTCCTGATGCGAAAAGATTAGCTTTTTTCCTGCATGAAAAAATGCAATACTGCAAACATGATATACTGTAATAAATCACTCAAAATTCCAATGACAACAGATTAAGAACTTATAAAAATATCACAATGCACAGGGCCTAATATTGTGCTTCCATTCAAATTAATGAGAATTTTGCTTTTGCCTTCAGTGGAGATAGGATTGGGTCCCTCATTTTATTTAATCATGCAAAATAACGAATGTATGCTGAATATAAATACGGACTTACTGTTTCACTGCCAGGTTTCCAACCAGCAGGGCAAACTGAAAAAAAAAAGCAAAAATGAAATTAACTTAGTAGAAAAGAAATTATTGTTCTCATTTATTTGGGTTTCTGGCCATTCTCTTGAAAAACTAATCTCTGAATTTTAAGAAATATAACAAGAAGGTGCCACATGTAAACATCTGCAAATATGTTACGTGCTTATTCATCAGACAGTATCCCTAAAACATTCATATTGATACTACTAGCAGGGCAGGTTGGATTGTTCCGTTCACTAAAAAAATGCTTGGTAGAGTATGTTTTGATTTCACTGTTTACAGTCTACTTGTCAATTTACTGGCAAAGGAATAGTACCTCCCGTTCTGAAGATGAATCCCTATTCCACGAGGACATATGGCGCCAAGATAAGAGCAACAATTCCATCAGGTGGAAATGGAGACAGGTATAACTTTCTTTAGAACTAATGCCAGGAGGCAAGCAGTACTGTGGCAATGAAGAAAAATTAAAGCTCTCTCAAGCAAGCAACTGTTTTGTTTGATACCCTGCTTAGGAAGTAAAAGGATTAGGGTGATCAAAATAAAAATTTGCCATTCCTGCAATTGCTCAGTTGTTCACGTACAACCTAGGTAGACGCTTTAGGAGACCAGGGAGCTGATCCTGCAACTTCATATGGGTGCGCGGACCTTGTGCCCAGGCAGACTTGCATTGGCTTCCATGAGGCTCCAGGATCTGCCTGCACGGCTGGGATTACACAACAGTAGCACAGGCATTTTATCCCCTGCAGACAGAGCTGCCAGCTGAAGTGTGGTGAACATAATAAAAACCTTGGAGGATTCTTCATCCTAGCCTTTGCGCAGAGTCCAATGAACTAGATATGTACTGCCACAGAAATCCAGCAAAACCCAACAGGATTCCACGTGCCTCACAGGGAGAGTCCAGTATTGCGTAAGGTGAGATATAGCTTTATTTGAAGCTGAACCAAAAGGACTTTATCTCCTTCATGAAAACGGTCATTGCTTTTAAGTATCAGAATTTGTTTTTTTTCCAATTCTGAATTGTGAAATAGAGCTGTTCTTACAGATAATGTTACATTACATGCTAACATGTTTCAAACTGCACTACGTTAAAGCACACGAGGGAACCTGGCAGGCGCACCATCAGGATCTACGCAGACCAGTTGATGTGCCACACATTACTGCGCTTCAGAAAGCACACCCCTACAGTGTGCATCACCACGCCCTGTAGACAACCCTAGAACGAATTGCAGCTGTGTCACTTTCCATAGGTTTGCTTTTAAACACCAACACTTTAAATTGAGAGCAGGAAGATTAGCCAGCTGAATACATGAGTTAATTATTAAAGTTGAATAGTTTACTGTGGGCCAAATCCTCAGCTGGTGTAATTTGGCACAGCTCCCTGAAGTCAAGGTAAAAAGCTGAAGTCAATGGAGCTATGCCAGTTTACACCAGCTAAGAATAATTTACTTTAAGAGAAGAGCTAGGAATATTCAGTCTTCATTACACTGGGCACCGAACCCAACCCCATTTTCGGGGATGCTTTTCACTGACTCGAAGTACTGTATCTATTTTGTCTTTGGACACCAGCCCCCTCCAAAAAAACAACCCCAACCAAAACAAAAAAATCCCAACCAAACATTAAGATTACACTAGCAGTGCCTCTTGAATCAGCTGCAGATTGTCCAAATGTATTAAAATACTGAGCCTGATTCTTCACTGCCTCATACTTTGTGCAGTTGCTTATGCTTAAGAGTGGAAAATGAGTGTAAATGCTACTGTTTTGATTTAATAATGTTACAACCACTTTGCATTCTCTTTGGACACTACACTAAGTGCAAGGCAGGGCAGAAGCAGGTCCATTGAATCTTGAATGAGGGGAACAAAAAACTTTGCACAATAACAGCCACGAAGCTATCAAATGTTGTGGTATGCCTTGCTTCCTAATAGCTAAAAATACACCTCCCAAACTAAATAAAACCTCAGCATAATTCCCATTGCCAAAATATTGAAAACAGGCACCTTCTCCATGTTTGTCAGTGTACTGGAATGCTTGTACTAGACGAAGTGTTTCATCCACTGATCTGCCGACAGGAAGGTCATTCATTGTTATCTGTCGAAGGACCCTCTTATCATCAATAATGAAAAGGCCTCTGCAAAAACATGGAATTTTTCTTTTAGATATAAACCAAATTATATTGATCTCTATTATGCTCTATTGTGGTGTCCAGATATTGCAGCATGCCTACTCGAGATCAGCAGTGACTGGATCTCTCCAAGCACTACACAAGCAAGTTAAGTGCAGGTTCTGTGTTAACTTTTAATTTCCTTTGCAACTCCCTTCGCATTACTTTCTCATTCATAATGCACCCAGAATATTAAGGATCTAACCTCCCCCACCTCTGGAGTCCTTCAATATCAGCCTCATTTATAGGAGGTGCTTTTCATTGACACAAACAACTCCATCTCTCATTGAAAGTGCTCTCAATTTGCAGTGCTCTCAGATCTTGCTGTGATCTAGGTAAGGTCAAGTCAGAATTAAGAAAGCAGTAACAACGTAAGAATGGCCAAACTGGTCAGACCAAGGGTCCATCTAGCCCAGTATCCTGTCTTCTGACAGCTGCCAATGCCAAATGCTTCAGAAAGAATGAAAAGAACAGGCACTCATCGAGTGATCCATCCCATTGTCCACGCCTAGCTTGTGGCAATCAGAGCAGGCGGTTGCATCCCTGAGCATCTTGGCTAATAGCTATTGATGGACCTAACCTCCATGAACTTTTCTAGTTTTTTTTTTTTAAACCCAGTTATAGTTTTGGCCTTCACAACATACACTGGCAAGGAGTTCCACAGGTTGACACTGCATTGTGTGAAGAAGTACTTCCTTTTGTTTGTTTTAAACCTGCTGCCTATTAATTTCATTGGGTGAACCCTGGTTCTCGTGTTAGGAGAAGGAGTAAATAACACTTTTTCTCCACACCAGTCACGATTTTAGACCTCTATCATATCCCCTTAGTTGTCTCTTTTCCAAGCTGAAAAGTGCCAGACTTTTTAATCTCTCCTCATGTGGAAGCTGTTCCATACCCCTCATAATTTTTGTTGCCCTTTTCTGTACCTTTTTCAATTCCAACATATCTCTTTTGAGATGGGGTGACTAGCACTGTATGCAGTATTCAAGGTGTGGGTGTACCCTGGATTTATACAGTAGCATTATAATATTTTCTGTCATTTTATCTATCCCTTTCCTAATGGTTCCTAACATTGTTGGATATTTTTGACTGCTGCTGCATACAGAGTGGATGTTTTCAGAGAACTATCCACAATAACTCCAAGATCTTTTTCTTGAGTGGTAACAGCTAATTTAGACCCCATCATTTTATATGTATAGCTGGGATTATGCTTTCCAATGTGCATGACCTTGGACTTACCAACACTGAATTTCATCTGGCATTTTGTTGCCCAGTTTTGTGAGATCCCTTTGAAACTCTTCACAGTCTGCTTTGGGCTTAACTATCTTGAGTAGTTTTGAATTGCTGCAAATTTTTCTACCTTACTGTTTACCTTTTTTCCACATCATTTATGAATATGTTGAACAGCACTGGTCCCAGTACATATCCCTGGAGGACACCACTATTTACATCTCTCCATTCTAAAAACTAACCATTTATTCCAACCCTTTGTTTTTTGTCTTTTAACCAGTTACTGATCCATGAGATTACCTCCTTCCTTCTTATCCCATAATTGCTTACTTTAAGAGCCTTTGAGGAGGGATCTTGTCAAAGGCTTTCTGAAAGTTCAAGTACACAAGATTGCATCTTTCTGGGATGATATGATGATGCTTAAGAACTTTTTTTATATGCACTTTAAGATTTTAGACTTCATATGGAAGTCTTGAACACTATTTACCCTTAACTATACTGCTTGATAAGTAGATCACTGACATTAAACGCTGAATTGTATAAATGAGACCCTAACAGCCTTTAGAATGTATGTGCTAAGAGCTAGTTGCATGGTCCTTAGTAAAAAAATTACAATGATAAACCAAAAGCACTTGTTACACTTAAATATCTAGACCTGGTAAGATAATGCCCGCTCAGTGTTTACAGCATGGTATTAAAGAAATGTACAGACTTGGTCCACCTAGGCCAGTTTCCTGTCTCTGACAATGGTCAGAAGCAGATGCTTCAGAGGGAGGTTTCTGTCTCACAGTTGGCAGATGTGGGATAATTTGCTCTACATTAATTCCTATATTTAAGGACTGATTTTAAACCCTGAAGCATGAGGTACAGTATCCCTCCAAATTTTTTAGTACTAACTATAACAATGCTGGATATTCTTGACATCCATGGACATATCTAATCACTTTTTACATGTTGCGAATGACTTGCTCTGGCAATGAGTTCCAGCTTCGTATGGTGTGAAAAAGTATTGCCTTATGTCAGTTTCTGAATTTGCTACCTTCTAATTTCACTGGATGTTCCCTTGGTCTTTTTATGAGGCAAGGAGAAAGTTCCTGACCTACCCTCTCTCTACCATTAATTATTTTATATACTTTGAAAGTGTCCTCTCTTATTCTTCTCCTATCTGAAGTAAATACCACCAGTCTTTTCAGTCTCTCTTCAAAGCAGATGTTTCCCATGCTGTTGCTCATTCTCATCTCCCTTTGCTGAAGCCCCTCTAATTCAACAATTTCCTCTTTGAGATGGGGTGATCAGTTCTGCACACAGTACTCCAGACTGCACCATTTATTTACATAATGGCATATTATTTTCCTTCCTATTCCTTATGCATCCTAATATCTTGTTTACTTTTTTGAATGCAGTTGTACACTTAACAGAGGTCACTGTGATGCCCAGGGCTCTTTCCTGAGTTGTTACAGTTGATTTAGAACCTTTGTAAGGTGTATGAATAGTTACTTTGCATTTATTGACACTGAATTTTATTTGCCATTATGTTGGCCACTCACCTTGCTTGGTTAGGACTCTCAATCTCCTCACAGCCTTCTCCGATTTTGACAAACCTAAATAACTATCACTTGAAAATTCTGCTACCTTTACAGAGCATTAAAAAACACTGGACCAAGTATAAAACCTTGAAGAAACCCACCGCTAATCTTTTGAAATAATGAAAATTGACTATTTAATCCTAGTTTCTGCAGCTATAGTAAGAGCATTTCAAAATTAGACTTTCAAAACACAAGCCCACTTAAGTTTCACTTTCTTCTAAGCCAGGGGTCAGCAAACTTCGGCACATGGCCCGTCAGGGTAATCCGCTGGTGGGCCACGAGACATTTTGTTTATGTTGACTGTCCGCAGACACGGCACCCCACAACTCCCAGTGGCCACAGTTTGCCGTTCCCGGTGAATGAGAATGGGGAAGTGGTGGCCAGCACATCCCTGTGGCCCACTGCTTCCTGCAGCTCCCGTTGGCTGGGAACGGCGAACTGCGGCCACTGGGAGCTGCAGGGGGCAGTGCCGTGCCTGCGGACGGTCAATGTAAACAAAATGTCTTGCAGCTCGCCAGCGGATTACCCTGATGGGCCGTGTGCTGAAGGTTGCTGACCCTTGTTCTATGCATTAGCTAATCAGACATAAATATTTAAGTAGGACCTTTCTCCTTCCAAGTCCACCTTCTTTACCTATTTACTGCAGCAAAGATACATTTCTGAATTTGCGACATTGTCCAGATAGGAGATCTAATGTCAAAAAAACACATGATGTTTTCACTATAGGATCAGGTAACTGCAGTGTAAGGGAGACAGATCTGTTTCAAGCATGAGTATCTGTAGTATTAACAAAGAACACTAAAAATGAATGGGCAAGAAATAGTACTGTATCAAACAATGCCACAACTACCACTAGACAAGATGTACACCTGTGATCAGCAGCAAGATGGTCAATAAAAACATCTGACAGACAGTTCTTTGCCAAATCTTGAGTTCATCGTTCAGTTTCTCCTAATAAAACACTAAGTAATGAAGGAAAAAAACAGAACTGGGAGTTCAGATTCTGGAAGGATAAAGCGTTTCAGTTCACCTTTAAAAAAAAAAATCAGAAATTAACTCTGAGATTTAAATTAAGAAATAATTCCTTGTGGACTAAGAGCTTTAATATACAATTTCAGCTAAGTTGTCAACAGTCGGTGGAAAAAATGCCTCTATAAATGATATGCTGACTTCCAAACGGGAAGCTTAAATGGCTGTTTTTTAACCCCATGTGGCTTATAGCATTCTGAAAATTTTCCTTCCTACTCATTTCCCCCCCCTTCATGCATGTTCATTTGGTTTGCTATTGTATATCTTCGACTGTTGATCTTTCTTTTTAAGAAAAGTACTTTATCCACATAAATAGACCCATTATATGTTAAGATACTAACTACTGTGATGAACACAGAATATAACTAAATAGTATGAGAGAAAAGTGCCAATACTGAGTGCCCCTTTAAATGGAACTGGTAAATGCACTGCTATAACAAGACAGAATGCACCATAATGGTATGTAGTACCTAAGTGTGTGCCCTTGGTCCTCTAGATATACTCCATAATCCTTTGAAATCTGGTGTGTCAAATCTGAAAGAAGTGGGATCTTCATTGGTCCAAGTCCTCCTTGTTTTCGTGGAGTATTAATCCTTTGGCAAACAAAAGAGATGCACATTTATTCTTCAGAGAGATTTTTATTCCACCTACAAATACCTCATGCAACTTTTCTGCAGAAGGAATAGCTGTTTTTCTTTTTTCTACTCGTTTGCTCCAACCTGCTTCCTACACTCCTTCAATGTGTCCATTTATAGTTGCCTTACTCTCCTCTTCATACCTCCTTCTATGCTTCATTTACACTTGAAACACCCCCCTTCTCTCTTTGTGGCCCAACTACCCTGTCTTTCTTCCAAATCCCACAATTAAAAACCCAAGGAAGATTTTTTGGGGTATTAATCCACCAATAGAACAACTGATCATAAAGTTGGATAAATAATTTGTAATGAACAATTTATTCTAATGGTAACACCAAAGTCATCATTTTTACTTTGACACCTTCAACAATAAACTTTATTTTGGAATTTCTTACCATTAGTTTTATTACTTACCACTTTTTATGCAACATAGCAACACACCTCACACCTTATCATTCAATATTTACTTGACAATATTAGTGCATCAGACAGAGTATGTGAATTTGTGGAAGCAACCCATAATCTAATATGTATCCACCAATAATTTCCTATAAAAGACACATGGGTAGGCTACATACCATGCTAAGTGAGTGAACTGTGAGTCAACAGAACATGCTACCACTTCAGTGTTTATTGCTCTGAATTCTTCAATTCTGTCACTGAAGGCGATAATTTCAGTTGGACACACAAATGTGCTAAAAAATTGAAAACAAAGTAAATTCAGAATTCTCAGAATATCCAGGGAGTGATTTCTCAGTTAGCTCAATACATAGCTAAATTTGTTTCTATAGAGAAGCTAGATATTGTTTGCAGTATATAAAATAGAAAAATTGTGAATTACTTATCACAACTATTGTTTTTATTTACAGATAGAATCCAATATATACAATTAAAATAATTTACACTTTACAAAGTAACTGCGTTCCTAACAGCATTCATAAATATGTTCACAGATGGATTATCTATCTTCAAACCCTGTGCAAGTGGTTTGTGAATAAGATTGAAAATGCAGTCAGTGCTGACTTAGTAATATTACAACTTACAGTTTAGCTACATGTACAATTATTCACCATTTAAAACTGTACAGGAATTACTGGATTAAAGTATGACACACCAAATTGCAGAGAAACAGCTGTCATGATTTCCTGGAAACTAGTAATGCAAGTTGTAGCTATTTTGCATTTGACTTCTTCCTGCTTCTTCTGGGCACAAAATTACACTTTAAATCACAATTGTTCAAGCTTTGAGACTAGGAGGAAAATAAACCATGATTCCAATTATTTTCACTATCAAAGCAGCTACCTGTCTCTACTACTTACCCTTTTTTTGTAAAGTGCTTTGAGTTCTACAGATGAAAAGTGCTATATGCATTATTAATATTATTAGTTTACTGTATGTTTTGTTCCTCATTTCAAGAAAACAAGGGGCCTGATTCTCCTCTCATTACACTGGTATAAATCAGGAGTAATTCCATTGACTGCAGTGGAGTTATGATAGTGTAATGAAAGGAAAGTCCATCCAATAATTTAACTTAAATGTATCCCATGACATCCTTGAAAGCCTGTAAGAGGAAATCAGTCTCCCTCAAAATATCTTCCAAAGCATATGAAGTGAAGAGATAAGAGATAATGTTGCTGTTCCCTGTATTCATTTTCCATTTGGGGCAATGAGTTGTATGGTAGCAAGGAATGTAAACATTGCCCAGGAAAATGTTACAGACCTACAAAATGTCAAGTGCAGTTGCAATCAACATCTTAATGTTTCCTGACTCTAAACAACACACTTCCAAAATTTGGGAAGGGTGGGGGGGGGGGAGGAGAGGGGAGTATATATCTTGGTATGTCTGCATCAGTTTTACTTACAAGTCAAGAGGGTAGAAGAAGAAGACAAGATATTTTCCTTGATAATCTGTTAATTTCAGCTCTTTAAATTCGCCATTGATTACTGCTGTTCCTTCCCAATAAGGTGCTGGCTTGGAAACTAGAAACATAAAATACAGATCTAAATTGAAGAATAAAGCGAAGCATGTGTACATAAATGAGGTTGTTCAGCAGGTACACATGTCCAAGGACAGTTTTCTCTCTGGATGGATATCTGTGGTTCCTTACAGTGAAAAACACTTTGTAGGACACGATTTACACAATCAAACTTTATTAATTCATTATTAATTTCAACCTTTCACAGGAGGAAAGCACACCACACTGGGGTCATGCTGTGTTTAAAAAAAAAATGTACATTTCAAGATGCATCAAATGCACATAACTCAACAGATTTGTGTTCACAAATTTCTGAACCATTTGAAATATTGCCAAGGATAAGGCTTCACGATAGAAAACGCTGCACACACCTACCATGACCCCCTTAACACATTACAAGTTTACTACAGGCTGATGACAGCTCATAACTTAGGATGTTGATTTGCATTGAATGATGTATGGTTACTGAGATATAGACTTCAGTAAATTCTATTTTTCTATAAATAACTTATGTGCCATGAGTAAAGAGTGGTTCAATTTCACATTATTTTTACTCCTTAGCAAAAAGGTTTTCTAAAATTTAATTCTGCAGGAAATACGTGACAGATGATGTGTTCATGGCACAAATGCTTAAAATATGTAGGTTGTCTGCTACTGCAACCCATCTATAAATTAAATCAGTGGTTATTGCACAAAAATATTCGGACTACACAGCAGAAAAAGATTAAGGATATGTCTACACAAGCACCTTTGTCGGTATAACTTATGTTGCTCGGGGTGTGAAAAAACACCGCACTGAGCGACATAAGTTACACCGACAGAAGCACCGGTGTGGACAGCATTATGTCCTGACAACATAGCTACCACCACTCATTTGAGGTGGTTCAATTATGTTGACGGGAGAGCTCTCTCCCGTCAGCATAGATCAGCTACACAAGCGATCTTACAGTGGCACAGCTGCATTGGTACAGCTGTGCTGCTGTAAACTTGGTAGTTTAGACAGGGCCTAAACGTTGACAATAATTGCTGTTGACAATAATTGTCTAATATTAATCAGCTTGACATTTCAGTCACGTTTAAATACCTTCCGTTTGATACTGGATCACCAACATACTGTCCTCAGGCATGGAATACTCAGTGTTATGTGCTTTGATATTGAGTTATGCGATTTGATACTTCAGCAGCATTTCTCAATATCAAAGCAGTACTGAAGTAGCATTTGTCAATATCAAAACACATAAGGCTGAGCATGCCATGCCTGAGGGCAGTGTGTTGGTGATCCAGTATCAAACTGAAGGTATTTAAACATGACTGAAATGTCAAGCATATATTGCTGGGTAAGTTATTATACGGCTCAAAGCAATGTTTGGAATGGATTTAAAGGAGAACGGTAGCATGCTGATTAATATTAGACAATTATTGTCAACAGCACAGTAACTATTATAAGTTTGTATGCAGTGTTGTAGCCCTGTTGTGGTCCCAGGATATTAGAGAGACAAAGTGGGTGAGGTAATATCTTTTATTGGACAAATTTCTGTTGGTGAGAGACACAAGCATTAGAGCTTACACAGAGCTCTTCTTCAGGTCTACACTACAAATTTACATTAGTGCACCAATGCAGCACATCTGGGAAAGATGCTCTAAGAGGATGGGAGTGAGCTCTCCTGCTGACATAATGCTGTCTACATGGCAGTGGTGGGCAACCTGCAGCTCGTCAGGGTAATCCACTGGCAGGCCGCCAGATAGTTTGTTTACATTTGCACGGCTGCCCGCAGCTCCCAGTGGCTGCAGTTCACTGTTCCTGGCCAATGGGAGCTGTGTGAAGCAAAAGCCAGTACGTCCCTGCGGCTCGCGCCGTTTCCCACAGCTCCCATTGGCCAGGAACAGCAAACCGCGGACACTGGGAACTGCGGGCAGCCCCAAATGTAAACAAACGGTCTGGCGGCACGCCAGTGAATTACCCGGACAGGCCGCAGGTTACCCACCACTGCTACATGGGGTTAAGGTCAGTATAACAACATTGCTCAGAGGTGTGGATTTTTCACGCTCCAAGAGATGTAGTTATACCGAAGTATGTATGTAGTGTAGACCAAGCCTCCAAGAGTCACTGCTAAATACAAGGTGGAACAGATTGAAATGTGTGTTGACTACTTATGCTAAACAACGGACCACTCAAGATGAAGTAGCCCCTTAACACCCCTCCAGTCATAGGGAGGAAAAGGGGGGGGGAGGGAAAGAATGTTTTAATGAGCCATGAATCCAGTGTCTATATTCAGTCCATGAGTTTTAGGCACGTCTAGACTACAAACTTAAGTTGACCTAATATAGGTTGACTTACAGCCACCGCAATAATTACTGCAGTGGTTCATGTCCACACTACCCTTTCTGTTGGTGGTGCACGCATGTCCTCACCAGGAGCACTTCCACCGACTTAAGAGGGGCAATGATGGGGGCTGAGAGCATGGGCTCCCAGCTCTGCATGCTGCTGCCCACCGGAGCCCAGCTGCCCTCTCGGTAGCCTGGTGGGGAGCCAAGAGCCTGGATGACCGGACTCTAGCTGGAGCTTCCCACCCACCCAGGGTGATAGCCCAAGCTGTGAGCTGGGCTTTCTTATCAATTTCACAGCTCCAGCAGGGAATCATGAAATTGACAAGAATGGCAGCCAATGTAAGTAACCCGCAATGTCTACAGGGACACTGCGTCACCCTAACTACACCAACATAAACCCTACACCTCTCATGGAAGTGGAGGGATTATGTCAGTGTAGTAGAACACTTACATCGGTGGGAGCAAGACTGTAGTGTAGACACTTATGTAATTAGGTCAATGTAAGGTGCCTTACAGCGACCTAACTCTGAGGTGTAGACCAGGCCTATGTGTCTGGCAAAGTTATGAATTTAAGGTCCCAGGCTCATCTTTTGAAGTGATGTATAGTTTTTCTTTGAGGACGAGGACTGATAGTGACCCTGACCTATCAGTCGTCACCCACAAAGGAAAACAGCACAACACTTTCAAAAGATGAGCCTGGGACCTTAAATTCATAACTTTGCTAGACATGGACTGAATACGGACACTGGATTTATAGCTTATTACAATAATCCATAATGCTCTTACAACCCCCCTAGTTGCTTTCTCCCTGTCTCCTCCCTCTGATTGGAGAGGTTTGAACAGGCCACTTCACCTTGAGTGGTCCCTTGAAATGTGTGTTTAGCATAAGTAGTTAACAATCTGTTCCACCTTGTCCTCAGTGATACTCATAGTTAGTTTCCAAGACTTGAAGAGCTCTTTGCAAGCTCAAAAGTGTGTCTCTCTCACCAACAGAAGTTGGTCCAATAAAAGATATTACCTCACCCACCTTGCTTTGCTAATAAGAAGACTTGGCAGAGTTTGATTTTTTTTTTTAATAATTTTGATATCTGCTTAAGCATATTTTTAGATTTTTTTTTTATTTAAACTTTCACAGTTAGAGGAAATTATGAGTGAGGGTGTCACACAACCATGTGACAGCAGATGTTGACAAAAGTTTAACTTTTTGAATTTCAACATCACATACCAAAAATATACTAAGTTAATATCCTTAAATCAAACTCTAAGTTCTCAAGCAGCATTTTTCTTACTCTGCCTATCTGTAAATTTGACTTTTACCAACATTTACAGATTAAAAATCAAATCCTTAGTAGCCTTGTTATAAGATATCTACATTAGTAAATGAATAATGGCATTGAAAACTTGTACTGTCTTTTTATTTTTATTAGCACAACCTACAAATTTTGGTACACATACCAAAGTCTTTCTCTAGTAACTTACACTGTACACATTTTTATAAATTACCCATACACACCAACCATCACAAGATGCTTCATTTGACAAGTCTAGTTTATTTTATTTATGATAGCACTTTGCTGTCAGTGTTTTGTAAAATTCTTCACTATGAAACCTGGAGACTTCTCAGTAATACTCTTCTAATGAATCTCTGCAGATAAGAGGGAAGACACTATCTATTTCCAAGTATGGGCAAGCTCTACATTTCTATTTAGAGCTGGTTAGGAATTTTCTGACAAAACATTTTTTGTCAAAATGCTTATTTGTGGAAAACAAAACTGTCCGTGGGAAAGGGTTGGTTTCAATGAATCTCCCGATTCAAATTTTTTCTGAAAACTTTGAAATTTTTGATGTTTCTGAAAAGAAATTTCAGTTTGAAATAACTATATGAAATTTTTGTTAACTTATTCCAAAAGTTAAAGGTTGAAATCTAAACACAATGTTTTGATTGATCAAATTAAACATTTTTTAATTATCTATTTGTGAACATTGGAGATTAACTTTTCGTCCAGATTTAGCATGGGAAAAATGGCACTCTCAAACTTTTGTGGATCAGAAAAACATTTCCTGCCGAGTGTTCTACTGTAGATTAATGTAACTGGGAATCTCACTTGACTACAAAACTTTTGAAAATTTATAGAACAGATGACCATTTTAAAAAGGTGCTAGAAAACCCCCTAACTGTAACTCAAACAAAATTATCTGCCCCTGAATCTTCAGAGTAATCAATTCACATGAGAGCTCTCTGAACATAGCTAACAAAACAAAACAAAAAAATTAGAATCACAAACCAGATTAAATCTAATTTCAGGAGACTTTTAATGCAGCTCACTTTTTGGTCTGATCCTACCATTCTTTTGTACACAGAACACTTACTGAAGCTAGAGTAGTGCACGTAGCTCACCAGTCACAGTGTGACCCCTTAGTTCATAAAATATTTTAAATCTTAATGACAACCCCAAAGAATTCCATATATTATTTACATTACTTCCCTTCCCTTATTCTTTACTACTGCCCCTTCAATGAAAACAGCACCTTTGTTAAAGAGTTTCATCTGTTACTCTGCTGCTGATTTCCTTCCCAAGCTCTCCATGGTAGTACAGATGACAACCATGACAAATGATTGTCATCACAAACCAGAGACTTTCAATGGGGAAGGAGGGGAAGAAATTCAAGAATAGATGAAGACTTTCATGTGAATATTCACAATAATCTAATAAAACAAGCTATACAAAGTTCAAAATTGAATCTTGAAAAACAGTGTGTCTGATTCAGTTTGTTCTGCAGAGGCCCTCTATTAGGCAGAAATCTGTCCATGTTCATCCATCCTACTACTTGATAACTGAAGTACCTCCTCTGAACAAAGCTGAGTCTGTAACAAAATAAGTAACTGAGTAAATATACTTTTCTATTTATTAACTGATAAACAGAAAAGTTATCTAGAGTTGCACTCCAATTATGCCACTGACTTTGGATGGGGTGGATGCTGTGGAGCTCCAGTGAGTTCATTTAGGCTAAGTGTGGCTACAGGAGTGTAGCTACACAAAGCAAGCTACAGAAGCAGAGGTTTAGAACTTCCATAACACAATCTGGGGGTAGGCTGACAAATTCCAGCTGTCTCATGTGCATCATGAGCAACCAAGATATGCAAAAGGATTCCAACATACTGGCATCTAGGACTAAATCTGTAATTTACTCCTATTTAAAGAATCTCCCTTTATTTAAAAAAAGAGTTTAACATGGTCTATATACACTATTTAGTTCTACAGATGGGGTTAATGAGTGGCATATTCCTCACTGCTAGTAGCTGTCCATTGGCATGGTTTTTGATTCCCCAAACAGGCTCCTTTGCTTTTGACAAACTGTATTTTGGTAGAAATGTTAACTTAGAACAGTTATCTATTTACAACGAGAGGAAAAGGCAGAAACTTTGCAAAAACTTGGCCCATGGTACTAAATACCTCCCCCGTGAAAATCTTCAAGCAGGATAAATTCTGATCTTCAGATTACTTAAACGCGGCAGTGAGGGAGCTGCTCAGGGCTCTCTACACACTTTAAACCAATAGGCTTTGTCTGACGTGGCTTTCTCCCCCAGCAGCAGCGAACGGTGCATCTGGCTCAGAAAAGCCAACAGCGGGAGCGAAGTGAAGCGCCCACAGTTTAGGATTGCAATAATCCCCCCACCCCCTCTACACACACACAGGTTGCCACTATACCAGACAAGGTGCACTGTACCCAACAGCTCTGGGTTAGCCCGCCTGGGCCACTTTTGTCCTCCATCGCAAAAAGGGCTCCTCGGGAGGCCGCTTTGCTGCGATGCTGCGCAAGGGCCTGGGCTGGGGGGCGGGCAGACAAACCCCTTCACAAGCGTTAAGGCAGCGGGGCGCTGGCTGCCCTGCGAGGGAGGGGTCGCCGCCTACACTGCACAAGTGGAGGGAAACTGAGGCCGGTGGGAAGCCGCAGAGAAACCCGGCCCCACAGCTGGGATCTCTGCTCCTGCCGGGCCCACCAGGGAACCCCACTCCCTCGACCCTTTTCCTGGGGTGTCTGTGTGTGTGTTGGGGGGGAGGCGGTGTTAGCCTGTGGCCTTCAGGCGGGCGAAGGGGGACAGGGCAGGAGGGGCGGGCACTGCGCGCCACTGGTTGCGGCGCTGCAGCGGAAGGGGAGGGGAGGAGGCTGCGGTGGGGAGACGGGAAATTGTTCGGCAACGTCCCTAAGCAGCCCGCCCGCCCGCGCCGCTACCTACTCTTGGCCTGGCTGAGGTGCAGGGAGTGGTCGGAGACGGGCACGCGGGCCGCCTCCCCGGGATAGACCTGCCCCCCCGCGTAGTAATGGCACTTCTCCTCCGCGCGGGCCTGCTCCTGGGCCGCCCCGGGCCCCGCCAGCACCAGCGCCCAGCACAGCGCCAGCCAGCGCCGCGCCGCCTCCATAGCGCCCGAACAACTGCACGTCCCGCCGCCCGCGAACAGCCAGAGCCGGGGGCCAACAAGGGGCGGGCGGGCGCGCTGCGCGCGGGGCGGGGCTCTGCCCACGAACACACACACGCTCCGCCCCTTCACATTGTTCCCTACTTCCCTGCGGCTTCCCCCACACACCACCCCCCGCTCCACGTACACACGCTGCCCCCTTCCCACTGCTTCCCTGACATTGCCCTTCCCTTCGCATCCCCTCCCCTTCCCTTCCATCCCATCCAATCCACACACTGCCCCTTCCCACTGCTTCCCTCACACTGCCCTGCCCTTCCTCTCTCCTTCCCTTCCCTTCCCCTCCCATCCACACACTGCCCCCTTGCCACTGCTTCCCTCACACTGCCCTTCCCTTCGCCTCCCCTTCCCTTCCATCCCATACACACACTGTCCCCTTCACACTGCCCTTCCCTTCCCTTCCCCTTCCATCCCATACACACACTGCCCCCTTCCCACTGCTTCCCTCACACTGCCCTGCCCTTCCCCTCCCCTTCCATATCATCCACACACTACCCCATTCCCACTGCTTCCCTCACACTGCCCTCCCCTCCCATTCCATACCATCCACACACTGCCCCCTTCCCACTGCTTCCCTCACCCTGCCCTGCCCTTCCCTTCCCTTCTCTTCCCTTCCATCCTATACACACACTGCCCCTTCCCACTGCTTCCCTCACACGGCCCTTCCCTTCGCCTCCCCTTCCCTTCCATCCCATGCACACACTGCCCCCTTCCACTGCTTCCTTCACACTTCCCTGCCCTTCCCCTTCCATCCCATACACACACTGCCTCCTTTCCTCTGTTTCCCTCACACTGCCCTGCCCTTCCCCTTCCATCCCATATGCACATTGCCCCCTTTCCACTGCTTCCCTCACACTGACCTCCCCTTCCCTTCCCCTTCCATCCCATATACACACTGCCCCCTTCCACTGCTTCCTTCACACTGCCCGGCCCTTCCCTTTCTATCCCATACAAACACTGCCTCCTTCCCTCTGCTTCCCTCACGCTGCCCTGCCCTTCCCCTTCCATCCCACATGCACACTGCCCCCTTTCCACTGCTTCCCTCACACTACCCTTCCCTTCCCCTTCCATCCCATACACGCACAGCCTCCTTCCCTCTGCTTCCCTCACACTGCCCTCCTCTCCTCACACACCCTGCTACTCCTTTTCATTGCTGCCCTCACTGCCCAGCCCTCCACACCCCATCAACCTCCCCTCCCAACACACATGCACAATAGCCACTCCCACTGCTTCCCCCTGCCTTGCCTTCCCGTCCTCTCCTCTCCCATACGCACACTGCCTCTATCCACTCTTTCCCGACATTGCCCTCCTCTTCCACTATACACACACACAGCCCCTTCCCACTCCTCTCCTACACACTCCCCTCCCCTCCCCTCCACCACACATGCACTGCCCTCCTCTCCCTCCCACCACACACACAGGCACAGGCTGCCCCCTCTCTTCCTTCCCCTCCAGCTGCTCTCTTTTCTCCTATCCAGTCTCAAATATCAAATGTCCTGAAAAACTTCTATTTCTAGATCCTTGTGCCACCATTGACAGCAGTCAGTGATTCATTTCAATGAGACTTTGTTGGCATGACAGGCTATACAAGTGTTGTGAAAGTGTTTGTCTTCTTGAAAGCCAGAACCCTCAAGCGTCTGACAGAGCTGCAGTGAATCTATGCTCAGGCTATAATACACTGTGGCTAGGGTTTCATCTTCCAACATCCATTTGTAAGCAGTGTGCATTCCTGACACGGTGGCACCTCACAAAGTTATAGTGAGTGCACAATGCACAGATCAGGGGGCTCCCCATGTAATAAGGGATGCTAACACACACACACATATAAAAAGGTACAAAGGTAGGTCTGTGCAGCAAGATTTGGATCTATGTGGTGTATTGTAAAGCAATGATTCTCAACCAAGGATTCGAGGCCTGCTGGGGGGGCCGTGAGCAGGTTTCAGGGGGGCCTGTCAAGCAGGGCCAGCATTAGACTCACTGGGGTCCTGGGCAGAAAGCCAAAGCCCTGCCGCATGGGGTTGAAGCCCAGGCTCTGAGTCCCACGACCTGAGGCTAAAGCTGAAGCCTGAGCAATATAGCAGGCACTCCTGTGGCATGAGGCCCCAGGTAGTTGCCTTGCTACCCCCTAATGCTGGCCCTGGCTTTTATATGCAGAAAACCCGCTATTGTGACACAGGATGGCCATAGAGATTTTATAGCATGTTGGGTGGGGTGAGCCCATGGGAAATCTGGTGGGTATCTTGGGGAATGGGAGGCTGTGCCTCCCCAAACAGCCTACTGTGACTGGGCCCCCAGGCCAGCGTGCCCCCTGCAGGGACTTGGGGCTGCCGGGATAGCTGGTGCTGGGCTGTGCTGCCTGCCCAGCGCCCCCGGGGCTGGGGGTGCAGCAACTGCGCTGCCTGGTTGCCTAGAGCCCCCGGGCTGGGGGCAATGAAGCTGTGGCGCACTGGGGCTGCTGGGGCCTCGCTTACCCGCCCCCGGCCTTCCGGCACTGGGGCTCGGGGGCTGCAGTGGGGTGCTTTAGGCTCCTGTGGGGGAGGGGGAGGCAAAAGGGGAAGGCGGGGTGGCAGAAGGGGAGGGGAGAGGTGGGGTCTTGGGCAGAAGGGAAGGGGCTGGGGGTTAGCCTCTGCCGGGGGTTAGCCTCCCCGGGTGGCCAGGGCGGGGGGAGCCTCAGAAAGAAGAAGGTTGAGAACCCCTGTTGTAAAGGGCTGATCCTGTTCTGTTCTATCTTTGTATGCAGGATTTCAACTTAGGTCCCATGCCTAGTAACCAGAGTTCATATACATTAAGGTGAAAAGTAACTCCCTCTTGTCCTGCGGGTCCCGTCACCATACCACCCTTACTTCTGCACTGCTGCTGGCAGTGGTGCTGCCTTCAGAGCGGGCATCCGTCCAGCAGCCGCCGTTTTCCAGCCACCCAGCTCTGAAGGCTGAGCCTCTGCCAGCAGCAGCACAGAACTAAGGGTGGGAATACCATACCCTGCCACCCTCACTTCTGCGCTGGCTTCAGAGCGGGGTGCCTGAACGGTGCAGAGAAGACGATGACACAAGAAGCAAGGAGAGAAAATCGGAGGATAGCAAGGGAAATATGGCTATTTTATGGACTTTCCTGGAGATGTAAACCACAGAGCTGTATCCAGTACAACGTCTCCCAATCACTGCAGGATTAGGGAAAGGAAAAATCTTTTTTTTTTTTTTTTTTTTTTTTAAGTTTGGTTATATTTGTTTGGTTCATACTAAAATATAATTTGTTGATTTCTATTAACAATATTCCTTAATAATTTAGAAGACAAAGTAGACCTAGTTAACGACTTTTATTGATTATTGATTTATTTGAAAGTTGTTATTGCGATGTGCCATACCTGGTTGCTAAGTATTAGTACAATATAATGCTGCAAGTATCGTTATTTCAACTGAACAAAGAATGGTTGTAGAGAATGTATGTTTGTTGGGGGAGGGGTGTTACAGGAGGGCAGGGAATGAGGGAAGTGTGAGAATAATATTCTGGTATAATACTTGGGAGAAAGCCAGAGCAAAGGTGGATAGGTCAGTAGCTAGAGAATATATTCAGACATATTTTTTAATTTTTTGCTGCAATTGCTTTTAATTTATTTTTCGACACAAGCTACTACTTTATAAATGATGTAGAATATGTGGTTGTAAATATCACTGGTACATACACTAGGTACGTACAACTGGTATGTACAATAGGCTACTCTTTTTAAATAAACTTGTTATGACTGAATGTGCAGCGGTATTATAGTAATTGGTAATGACTAAGGATATGATTCTGTCACAGGTTCCTTGACTTTCTGGGACCTCCTTCTGGGGCAGGGCGGGAGCACCTGTCAGCCCTGGGGCTGCCAGAACATCTGATCAGCACCCAGCTCCAAGCCACGGAACAGCTGACCGGTGGTCAGCCCCAGGGCTGCTGGAGCCAGTGGCCAGCCCTGGAGCAGCAGCCCCTGGAACAGCAGTAAGCCCCAGTAGCACTCTGTTTGTCCCTCCCCCCAGGGTATTTTTAGTAAAAGTCAGGGACAGGTTGTGGGCTTTCCTGAATTTTTGTTTATTGTCTGTGACCTGTCCCTGACTTTTACTAAAAATACCGGTGACAGAATCTTAAGTAATGACAATAATACTGCTGCACATTCAAAATCATAACAAGTTTAAAATTTAAAATTAAATAATTCCTTGAACCCTGGCACCTCTTCCATTACAAATTAAACACTGCCTCTAGCTCCCACAAATGCCCCTTTGTTCTGCTTCCACAACTCCTCAGTCAGCTATCAGATGTTGATTGGTAGATGCTTTCCCTTCCAGTCATGCCCTGGGTCTGGCTCTGCAAGTTCTCAGCAGCTGACCCACTGTTTGTTTTTTGTTTTGTTTTGGCTAGTATTCACACTCTGACAGACTAACTGAGAAGAAGCATAGTTGAAGGTGGTGGAGCATATGTGTATTGTCAGCTAATTTACAATAGAGAGTGATCACAAATTCAGTGTCTGATAATAAAAGATAATATATAATAAATGACATGGGCCAAAGGAAAAGCAACATTTTATTAACTCAAATAATTTCATTCCTTGACCTGCCACCCCCCTAATAGTAATAAAAATTAAAAAATCTGGAAAAAATAATTCTTTATAGGATCACCTATCCAGGAATCATCTAGTTTCTCTTCCAGGTTTTGTTAAGTGAAAAAAATCTACAATGCCACTGTGAAAACTGTTAGTTTTCAGAAAACTTAACTTTTGGTCTCCTGATCTGGCAAGCCAAAATTGGATGGATATAACAAAAGAGAGTGAGAGAGCCTTCACTAATATAATACCCATCTTTCACTTTACATCAGTATTACACATGATCACAGTTAAAAGGATCAGGGCCTATGGTTGTACAAATCTCAGTGTGTGTGTGTGTGCGTGTGCACACACATGTGTGGAAATCGGAGTTCACAGGTAATCTGCACAGTAGTGGTGACCAGGGCCGGCTCTAGGATTTTTGGCACCCCAAGCAAAAAAT